TTCCTGCCTTCCTGCCTTCCTGCCTTCCTGCCTTCCTGCCTTCCTGCTTCCTTGCTTCCTTCCTTCCTTCCTTCCTCCCTCCCTCCCTCCCTGCCTTCCTTCCTTCCTTCCTTTCGTCCCTATAGATCCATTGCTAGAACGAGACTGAACATGCACTTCCGCCCTGCCTTGCGAGTGGTTGCTCGCGCCTGGCCCACGTGGCCACAATGAAGGGCCAACTATTCCAGGACTCCCATCATCCCCGGTCAGCTGATCAAAAATGATCAAGTTTGACATTGTTCCTATATCCCGCTTTTTTGCTGAAAAAATGACCCACAGTTACGCAGAAACGGTAGCGGAGAAAAAGAAAGGGTTGTAAGTTTGTAGCCATGCATGGCTAGGGCCGAAAAAAGGGTCGGGTGCCAACCTTCGGAAGCCAACCTTCGGAAGCCATCCAAGCTAGGGGTCTTCATGGACCAAGCGGTCGTTGGGACCCGCTGTTGCGCTGTTGGTGTCCAGGCATTGAATCTGAAGTTCACCGTCTTAACCATGGCCTTCTTGGATCGATCCAAGAAGGCTGGGGGGTTTACTCGGTTGTATTCCATACTTTACGGCAGGTGCTGAACCCACAATGGATTCCTCGCCAAGCTCTAAAAGGCCCAGCCGCATCTACGCTTGCCCTGCAGTCAGGCCCTTGCCTTGGCCTGTTGGGAGGAACCTCAGCTAACAGCAAGGGTCGCAGGGTTCCAATCCCAACACACCAAGATCCTTATAGCTACCATGTCCAGTACAACCCCACTTACGGTCAATTGGAGTTCCCTCCACAAAAAAACTGAAGACTGAACGGTCTTCCTGTCCAGGGAAGTTCGGCGGCGGATTGGCTGCTGTGTTTCTTTGGGGTCACGCTGATCGTGGATCCAGCATCTGGCGGCAAATGCCGTCCCAACTCTCAGGGTCCGAGTGCAACCGTTGACGGATTCATCGATGGAGCTCCCCCTTTGTGCCACCCATTTGTATTGATGTGTGGCCAATAAGCATCACTTAAAAGCATCTTAAAGCTCAATCAATCAAATCAAAATGCTTGTAAAAGCATCTTAAAGCTCAATCAATCAAATCAAAATGCTTGTCATTGACGGACCCAGTCTATATTGATGTCTCTTGGTGCTACCCAGCCCAGGCAGTTGTCCAAGAGCCCAGAACGGCGCCACCCAGCCAAGGGGCCGAGGGCAGTGGCCGCCGCCGTGCCAGAGCCCGAGATAGGGCCTGAGAACTGGCAACTTTGTAGTACAAATATAGCATGGAAGCCAATGGGCTGGTTACAGGCCTGTAAAGAATCCTGGGATCTGTAAAGAATCCGGGCCCCCCTCACCAACACATAGGGTTTGGGAACCGGGTCCGGACCCCTGTGTTTCGGTGGAGAAGGTCCGACCCCTGCCATGGAGAGCCCAAGGATTCTTTATATAGGGTAGTACAAGTGTAGTACAGGAAGCCATGAAAGTCGAGTCTATATACTTCTCCCACTAGCACAAGAATTTGAAGGAGGACCACTGGATGTGAAGGTGTGGACCGGCTTTGGGGGGTCATTATACTCCCTAGGGATCCAAGTACCTTCTCAGAAGGTAAACCTACATAACAGTGTCTCCAATCACCTTCTGAGAAGGTATGTGGATCCCTAGGGGCTCAATGTTCAGTACTCTCATCATCTCGTGGACACCGCCAATCATCCCGCTCCCCAGCGACACGCCGCATATACATCTCTCATCGCCGTATGGGAGCGAAAATCTCCAAGGTCTGGGTGACTCAGATCTGACTTCAGGACCACTTCTGGAAGACTCAGATTTGCTGAAGCTGGGCCGAAAGATCTTCCCCCCTCTTCGCCAAGGGGAGCTTCTTTTCACCCCGCCAAAAGAAGGAACCATGATCGAAGCATCACCCGAGCTCTTTTCGGATTCGTCTCCATGCTCAGCAAAACCCTCAGCCTTCCGAGCTTCCCAGGCTGGGTCTCAAGGAACCCTTGGGAGCAAACGCCTTCAACTCCGCGACCTGCGCGACCACCCCGCCGACCGGCGCCGCGGCGGCGAATGGGCCCGGGCCGCAGCGCTGAAAGCGCGGAGACGGTTGGAATGGCAGGCGGTTTTTCCCGCCTTTCGATCTCTGCTTCTACAAACGGGATGGCTGCATATGGCTGCCAATCCCCCCCCCAAGAACGACGCGTTGGGGAGGGAGGGATGGATGGTCCTGTAGGTAGTGTCTGGGAAACAGCTGATGTTGACCAAAGAAAACACGTGGAACGACTGACCAGATCTGGTCGGCATCTGTGGTATGAAACATGTATGAACCCCCTTTGGTATGAACCCATTCGGTATGGTCAGAGTACCATCTTCAGCATCTCCAGAAGACACCTTCCCGCCATCACCAAAGACACTGGACTCGCCCAGGTCGCCCGCGCCACGGCGATGACGTCTCCAGGTCGCCGCAAACGGCTGGCCATCCACTCCCACCTCTTTGGGTCGAGCGTGGGGAAGACGGCGTTGGTTGGGGTGGAAGACGGCACGTCAGGCACGTCAGGTGCAAAAAGACGAACAGGACTTGAAGGAGGGTTTGGGGAAGGTGTTTTTTCTTCAGGTGGAGCTTATAGATGTTTCGGGACTTGTAGAAGGACTTGCAGGCTTTTGGGGATGTGTTTCAGGATTCTAACGCCTGCAAAGCCTGCAAAGAATCCGGTGACTATTCAATAGAGTCAATAGAGGAAGACAATCCTAGCTCTGTCTGACGCGGGCAAATGCTTTAAGCTTTAAAGCAGAGACCACTGTGTGTGGAACTGTTTGGGACTGAGTTTACATTCTGAGACTGCAACAAAGCACACTTGGTACCCAAGGTTCCGGTGGCGGGGTCAGGTAGATAGGTAACGTGCGTAAATCCAGGTAATTAGATCCACCTTTCACTGCAGGCCCACGTGGATCAGTCCTACATTTACCACTTCTGGTAACAGGGAGACACCATAGTCTAGGCATGTCTAGGCTGCTTCCCAAGGCCTACCGGAAACCTCCAATTGACCGTTTGCTACACAAATGGTGTTTCTTCGTTGGAAATGGAAATGCTCCAACAGACCATCCTGGGATTTGTTCTAGAAGGGGTTTGCCATGGTTTGCCAAGATGCAAATCAAATGAGACACCTTAAGCAAAAGGCCCAACAACCCAAAGAACCCCGACTCCCAGCAGGATGCCCACGGATGGCCTCAGGAGGAGGGCCCGTCCTGGCCGAGTTGAGTCCGTCAGGTTTCAAACACTTCAAACTCACCCCAAACACCTTCGAAACGGGACTTTTTGGAAGCCGGTGAACACGGGAAGAGCTGGACAGCGGAGACATGTCTTCTGGTAGAAAGCTCTTGTAGCTTAGATGTTTCAGGGCATGTTCACCTCTCTTGGCCCAGATTATCCGACATGTCGATTCGCCAAAGGGAGGTCCCTGACCCACGACTTGACCACTTGTGTGTTTTTGTTCTGCCTGGGCAGATCGCTATATCCAAGAGTCAGAAAAGGTAAAAACCGGTCAGTCCGTGAGGAACATGTTTCAGGAAGAGCGAGAGGAATAGGAACATTAAGACGTAAGGCAGGAAGAGGAGAACCTTTCACACAACCCTCCAGTGCCAAGCCGGAAGAAGTGGTGTTTTCTCGGCCCAGGGTCGACCTTGCAACACATGGAGGTTCGGAACTCCAATGCGTATTGCACATGTAATAGGCTCTTTCTATATGCGATCTTTGTTGCAGGATACTGCTTACTGTCAGGCCGCCAGCACAACGACGTGTGTTCAACACGCTTCATACACCATCCGCTGTCATAAGGAAAGCTTCATCAATGATTCATCAACCAACAATTGTCTGAGTCTTCGAGTGACGAAGACTCAGATCGTCGGATCCTTGAAGCCAGGAACGTTGCTCTCCACAAGGCCACATGGGGGGGGTTCATCACGATGTTCACGAGGTGTTTCATGTCCACCCACTTGGTCTTGGGAGAACCCGGAGGATTTCCAGCAAAAGAACAGCTGCAGTTCCGCGCCAGAACCCGGTAGGGCAAGCGGTTCCGTGCTCCCGGCCTTCCTCACCTCTCCCTGCCAATGAAAGGTGATACAAGAGCCTCAGTGCGACAGGACACCAGCCACGCACCACTCGTGTAGTGCACATCCCAACGGGGGCCGTCAGTCGAACTACCCCGCGCTTTTCGTCTGGTCTTTTTGCACGGTTGGCCAGCCGAGTCTGTAAAGCGTAGCAGCTAATTGCTTGAGTGTCAAAGCAAGAAGAATACAGTAGATGGGATTTCCCACATGATTCACCCGAACCCGCATCCCTCCCTAGCTAGTCCGCACATCGTGCCTCTGGAAGAAGTAACCATCATCTGGACCAGTCCACCAGTTCCTTGGAGCCTCCGCAGGCCGCCAAGGCGGACTTGTGCAGTAAATTCCAGGCTGTCTGCTTTTTGTGTTTCACCAATACGGAGAAATGGCTGGTGATTTGGCATGCCATCCGTTTCTTTGCCAAAGACCGCTCGCAAAAGGGAAACCATGGTGGTTGGGATTCCACCAAACTGGGCACTGATACCACTGGATTTATTTGAAGGTCTCTAGCACTTGGTAAAGGTACGACAACAAGCAACATTGCTGGATTTGTGCCTGTTGTTTGACTTGGGTGGAGGGCTAAGGTACCTCCACAACGAGAACCCCAGATGCAGGTTTTGCCTGCAGCACATCTACTGATTGTTCAATTGTGCATAAACAGTCGAAACAAGGCACTATAGGGCAAGTTTAGCCAGCGGCCGAACGCTGTGCAGATTTCTAAACCATTGCCATCTTTGTTGCAATGGGAAATGTTAATTTCCTTTCTTAGTCGCAACCCACCTCCCTTGGCCGCAGCCAATCAGGAAAATTACCAATGAAAAATGGGAAATGAACAAAAACTACAACATTGATGGTGTTGTCCCATGCTGTGTGCACTTGCTGAACCTCAAACGGTCATGCAACGAAATAAAGATCAACAAAGCAAAGTTGTAACACTCCATCCAAACTCCGGTTGTTTGAAACCCTTCCCTCTTCGCGCATGAAAATGAAACATGGATCAGCAGTTTCTTCAAACTGACCTAATTAAAGTCCCATGCAGTGCCCCATTACAGGTCAAAGCGTCAAAGTGACCTCAAACCTGGGGATGAAAAAGTCCCTTCGATCAATCAAATATATATTTACAAAATGTTGGTTGAAAAATGTCACTGCTTCTTGGCTGGTGGGATTGCCTCTTGAGAGCCCAGGTGTCAGTTGAACACTGGGACAAACATGATTTTTGCGCGTGGAACCATGGAACCTTGACGAACATTTCTGCAGGAGAAACTGCTTTGCAATCAGGGATTTCAGTTTTCAAGCCACATGCGTTGCACACACTAGTGGTAGGGGAGTCCTAGAATCATTGTGTTTCCGAAAGCCATGTTTCCTGGTTGTCACACCCCCCCCGCTCAGAACCTCTCAGACGCCACTTTTCGCCCACTCGCAAGAACGGCACGTCCGAACGCAGTGGCCGCAAGAGATGGACGACGTCGGTCTTTGCTTGTGAAAACCCAGAAAATTCCAATTAGGTTTCCGTGCTAAACATACCGATGTCAGGCCCGCCCCACTGCTGAAGGTTGGTAACGGCCTCTTTCAACAAATAACAAAGCAGCTCAAAATGCTCGTGCAAGATTACCTCTGCTACCTCTGCTCCTTTTCAGTTGTGTGTGCCGTGTCCCGCCTTCGCAGCGTTGGACCCCTCTCCGTTCACAGGTGGGTCAGCCTCCTAGGGTTCTCTGGTGCGGGTTGGAATAAGATAAGAACTCACGACCACGCGCAACCGGTGCTGAAAGCGTCCCGCACTTAGTGCAAGACTGAGAGCTAACGTTCTCGACCATGCAGTCGACAAATGTTCCGTCCAATTGTCTTTCATGTCCAAGGAGCGGGTGAACTGTCATCTCGGGTCTGCACCGCATTGGTTCACCTGGAGACAAGCTGTCTGCCAGCCACGACTGTGAGTCCTCCAAAGGCACATCTCGCAAGTATCTGAGACTTGCATCACTTAAAGCCATTGCCGCGTGCAAGATTCGTACAGAGGGCTTCTTGTTTGGCTCAAAGAACACAAAGCATTTGTAAGAGGCCTCGTCTCCAAAGCATCGCTCTTCCAACGTTGTCTGCGTCACCGTGATCACCTATCCACTTCCCCGTCGATCCCTTGTGTCAAGCTATTCTCAAGCAAACAAGCATTCACCACAAGAAAACAATGTTCAAACTATGTCAAAACCTGCTGCACCTCGCGCCACAAAAGGGGGTCATCCACGAATACCTGGACCGGCCACGGTGGAACAAGGTTTGGGTTGATGGCGAGATGACCAGCGGCCCGGTTCGCACACTACACCAAAGAGCACTGCGTCTTGAAAAGCTTTGTCACGCTCGTCATTGCTGCATCCATCTGCAGCGCGTGCCCACACATAGCAAATATTCACACAAGGCAGCCTTGCTTCCAAAGAACCTGCCATCCTACTGCTGGGGATCGAAGCCTGTGCTCTTCCCCTCTTGCTAGGCCTCATCAACGTTTGACCTTCTAATCTTCTGCTGACGGCCCTGGCCTCGCGGGCACTGACTTGGCAGAGTTCAGTGCATACTGCTGGCCAGCTTGGTTTTTGCGCGAATCGCTGAAGTTCGATCGCTGCTCTGGACAAAGCCGGGTGTGTGGAATTGCAATCTTTTTGCTTCCGTCGTTCTTGTGCCCAGAACTCCGTGCAGCACCTGATATCAGCTTCTGCGGGCGGCTGGATGCCACATCTGGATGTAGTAGAGCCCTAAAGCCGGGAACCAACGTTAGCTGTGACCGACTGAACATGACTGAACAATCAAAGAGGCTGCGCCATGCCTCCTCCAACGCATCACGGTTCGCAACTCCAGGTTTCCATGGCCCAGCTCGGCCCACAAAGCCCATGGCCCTAGCCCTACATAGCGATTCTTGTCCACGCGGTCCCGAAGGAGCAAAGGGTGTCTATCCGCTCTGCACGCATCCTCGATCTGTAACATGTTAGCCTTGATCTACGACCTGACCCATCTTCAGCTTTGAGGGACGTCGTGGCCTCACCACCTGCTGGTGCTGCTGCTCGTGTTGTGCCGGCTGCCGCTGAGAACAAAGAGGTGCTACCAACTTCACGCTGATGATCTCTGATGGCTCTGAACCAAGCACCACTGTTCCTTCTCTGTTTCTGACACAGCACGTCCGCCTGGAGGATAACAGCATGATCTGGAGAGAACTCAGATTGGGCCTCCCAGTTAGCCTAGAAACCCTTGTCGCAAGCCCCTGGCCGATTACCCCCCCAAGCCGCTGCTTGTTGGAGGGTGGCCTTCACGTCCATTACACACCGGAAGAACTGGATTAAAGGGTAGCTACGAACATCAAGAGCTCACTCTCTTGCTCTCAAGAGCCGCTGACCGACCTCCGCCGAACAGAATCACCATCCTCTCGACCTCACAACGGCTAGAACAACATCCTCACCGACCGGCGACCGTCCAGAATCTATGAACATCACGCGAGCCAAACACCGCTGCGAGCTCTTTGCTCCAGCGAACGCGTCGCATCGTCATTGGCGGAGCTGCGGATACGGCATTTGGCGCGCTGAAGCTTGGAGCCAGCATGATCTCTCAAAGGTGATCTGACTTTTCTCAAACCAATCGAGCACAGATGTCGATTGGGCACAGTTGTCGACTAAAACCACAAGAAGATGTAAGACGTCTAAGATTGTACAAAAACAACTATGGGTTTCACTTGTTTCCTCCACTAAACTCAGTAAACATGTACTAACATGGCTTTGATGTCCAATGCTACATCGTTTTCACGGGTCAATCAGTTGTGATGCTCGCCTTCCCAGCTACCAACACCCCCAGAAACAATAGCGGCTCACTCTTGAACATGATTGAACATGCGAGCAAGATGAACAGTTGGCATTGGAGAACAGTAGGGTGAATTCCCAAGCCAAAGGGCTTTTAGTCCGTTCTGCTAGCCTCCAATCCTTTCCACTGGCGACACGGAAGAGGGTCCCGGCGCTCACATCCTTGTGTTGCTCAGAGCAAGGCATAAGACATCTTGCGCACCCACCTGAGAACTGACGTCCACTCAAATGGCCAGTTGGTGCGTAAAGACACGCATGGGACTCGTAAGCCTCACGCCAGTTATCACTGGAACAAAAAAAGTGTTTCAACCAAACCAAAGAGAAAAACCGCGGAGACCTTGACATGGCGTTGCCAATCAAGTTATCACTCAGATTAAAAAAATAAAGAAAGAAGCATCCGCTTTGGAGACCTTCATAGTTCCATAGATGTCCCATATATATATATATATATAGGTGGTAAGTTTGAACACAATGTCCCAAAACTTCACACGATAGTCGTCCATCACAGCGATTGTCGTTCCAAGCTTCAATGCCTCAAGAGGCACTCCCACCCAATTCAGTCATTCAACAAGCTCAGTTAGGGATGTGGGAGGTGTTGGCAGACTTTGCCCAGAAGATACATGAACAATCACCGCTTGTTGGGTCTCCAAAAACAATCTCACCCAGTGCAATCGAAAGTCAACGACAGAGTATGTAAAAAGTAACATGTCCTTTGCGGCATCTAGAGTAATCCCTCTCATCCTCTCCCTCCAAAATGACTTTCCAACTGGGACGGATGGATCAATCTCAGCACATCGCCCAAACGGGGGGGGCCTTGGCGAGCTGATCCATGACCCGATTCCTTGGAGGATCAGATTTGGAGATTTGATGGACAAGTCTGGCTGCATCATCTGGCCTCCATGCCTTGAGCCTAGCCTAGCTCCTCCATGCCTTGAAGGGCCTAGCCTAGCTCCTCCATGCCTTGAAGGGCCTAGCCTAGCTCCTCCATGCCTTGAAGCGCCTAGCCGCAGCCTAGCCCCCTATCCTTGGGGGCAGGGTACTGGGCAGGGTACTGAGCCACAAACATCTCCACACATACGAAGGAGGGCACCCTGGAGGAAAGCATATGAAAGCCAACATCTAACGGAACAGCTGCCGGAAACACGTCGAACAGCCGAACCTTTCCAAATCAATCTCAGCCATCAGAAAGATCTCAGAGAAGAACTCGTGAAACTTCTCCACTCTACACCCCGCGAAAACTCATTTTTTGTTTCTGCTAAAGACAGGAGGCGCTTAAGTTCCATGCATGTTCTACTTTTGTATGGGTGTCTCTCTTCTTCTCCTAGCTGATAGCTTCCAAGGTCTTGACAGAATCCAAGGAAAGCATGGTGTGTCGGGTCACTGTCGAGTTGACACACCAGATCTTGAACCCGACTTCGTACTACCATCCAGGTCCAAGGTCTTCTGACCCAGTCATCCCATAAGGGGGAACAAAAACCA